TGATGGCCCTCATGAATCTCTGGCACCCCAGGTCATGTCCACATCAGCTGCTGTTGTGTTTGCTTATTTCCCTCCTGCCCTTCTTCCTTCCCCCCAAACCTAGATGCCGTAACTGACAAACGCAATTGTTATTCCTCTTCCAGAATCCTAAATGGAGGGGATATTAAAGGAGGAAGAGATCATATCTGTCTGTAAGCACCTGTGTTGAGGACAGGTGCAGCAGATAAAGCAGGATTTGGGAAAAGCCATCTCTGCTCTGAGTGTTGTGGTTTGCTCGGGCAGTAGCGCTGATGTGGTTTGAGAAGTCATCCCAGCAGAATTAGCGTCAGGATCAGGAACGACCTTTCTTGAGCCTGGCTGTAGGTTTGAAGGAAGGGTAGAGTTAGCACAGGTGCCCTTTCTGGAAAGTTACTCAAAAAGAAAAACTGTGTTTCATTGAGAGTCCTCTTTGAACAGCTTCTTGGAAGTTGCCGTAGCTGACCACTTATCTCCTCAGAGATGCACCCTTAACAGGTTTTAATCTGTTTCTCTTTTCCAGCTGGCGTGCGTGGGGTAGCACGAGGTGGCATTGCAGGCCTGACGCTTACCGGCCTCTACGCTCTCTATAACAACTGGGAGCACATGAAGGGCTCCCTGGCCCGCCAGTCCCTCTGAGTGGGGCAGCCAGCGCTGGACGGAGGACACGCTTGCATAGTCACCAATCCAAGTTGTGAGATCTGTCTGGTGCCCCTTCCTATTTTATTTACAATGAGTGTGAAACCGAAGGAAGCCGTGCTGGGAGGAACCTCTCGACACCGTGTAGCTGGACTGGCCCTTTCCTTCCCACCAGCCAGCTGCTGGAGAGGCAGCGATATTTGTTGGACCTGCAAGTGAGCAGGGTGGCCACCGAGATAAGAATCTCCCCGACACGCTCACCAGCCAGCCCCGGGCCAGAGCTACGAGGCATGCTCAAGTCTCACAGCTGTACCTGCTGCGCTACCAGGTTTGTCTGGCTGCCTGTACTACAACGATAGCGCCGCATAATAAAGTCTGTGTCCATAGAGCCGTTCACTGCAGTCTTACAACGTGCATCGCCCGGGCAGCGGGAGCCTTAAGTAGCAAGTGGCACAGGGCGAGACAGGGTAAGCTGTAAAAAGGGACATCATCGATAATAAAAAGGGTGGTACTTGCACAACACCATTTCTGTGCTTTGCTGTTCCTGCTACTGATAAGACAAAATGTGCTGCATCCAGTGACTTATTTACAGTTTTGTTTTGAAGGACCGATGTGATAAAATCCTGGGGGAGTTAGTGGGTATGGGGAAGGGAAGGAACAGGCAGATTGTCTCCTGATCAAGGTGATGGTGAGGCATGCCAGGGCTTGACTCCACTCCCTTGTTTGTTCTAATAAATAAGGAACTGATTGCTTCTGGATGAGGTACAGTTGCTGTTACAGAACAGCTGCCACTGGATTATCAAAACACTTGGGTGCTCCAGGATCTCAGAATTCGTTTAGCCAACAGTTAGAAACTAAACAGTATAACTGCTCCTCTCATATTGCTTATTACAGGATTTTTAATCGGCAGCAAGCTCTTTCCCCCAAGTAACGTTTGTAGATTATTGGCAGAGCGAAAAGGTGTGACAAACCTGCACCGTCTCCAGTGTTAAACTATGTACCAAGCATTGTTTGCAGATAAATTAAACAGTAAGTTGTGAATTAGTTCAGTAATTAGTTATCGTGTAACAGCTTGTTCCTTCAGTTTTAAATAGAGTCTGTGAACAATTAAACAGGTCTGAGATGGCATGAAGGCAGGGCAAGGGAAAACCAAGAAACTTCAAGTAGATACCTTCATACAAAACAAGAGTTTACTTTACTTAAATTCTCGCTACCAAAACAGCTCTTGATAACTATGTTAAACACAAGAAAATAAACCCAAAAAGAGCAGTAGAGAGAAGGTAGCAGCTCTTACCTTCCTCCAAGAGGAAATTCAGCTTTGTTGAGAAGCAGCTTTAGGAGGTGACTCCTGAGACTAGCTTTTTATAGAGCAAGTGCACCAGCTAACGAGCCTTCACAGTTGAACTCAATTAGCTTTGCTTGGCTACCAGCTCAGAGTAGGTGCCCTATGCCAGCACTTAACTAGATGTGGCATAAAGGAAACGGGTCTTTTCCTCACCTGCTTTGTAAATGCTGTTTCTTGTTAAGCCTTATGTTCCACCCTCTTCTCCTGGGCTGGGTGTTACTGTTGCGGTGTCAGAGCCAGACCTTCTAGCATGTGTTTTTTGAGGGCCATGCCACCAAAGAAACTGTCCTACTCACAGGCTGCAGAAAGGTGACATAGGCGCCAGCTGGGCAGTGCTGCCGGGTGGGACAGCAGGAAAACGTGTGCGCTTGCTTCCTGAGCTGCTTTTCCTTTCCCCATTGGCATGGGCGAGTTCCTCCCCGCCTGTTTCTTGGTCTCTGTTAATGGCGCTTCACTCCTGCACGCTTGACTATGCTGGGTGAAGGACTGGAAGCCAATTTGGGGCTCGGGGTGAGGGAGGGCTGCTTTTTAGTGTTAGGAACTTTGCAGGGTGTCTGTTTTGCTAGAGACTTTTTCAGGACTGAAACATGACCCAGGAACTCTCTGCCCCTAACTGAAGTGGGAAAGCCGTGAAGCTTATAGGTCTTTCCTCCTTTAGGTGCACTGGAGATAATGCACAACCAACCTTTTTTAAGTTCAAAGTTGCCACAACTCTAAGGCTAGGCTGACTCTTGAGACAGCATGTTATCTGGTCTGCAATAAGTTCAAATTTCCTGGAATTGCTTACCGCAGGGGCAGAGCAGAGTGCATTTTTCTGAAATAGCTGTGTTTCTAGGGGCTGTTAAAAGCTTTTTCTCATAACCTGTTTGTGTATGTGTGATCCATAGCTTGAACTGTGAAAGAAAACCAGCACAGAGGCAACAGTGAGGGAGGTGAATTGTAAGTACAGAATACAGAGAACATCTTTACGATGTTCTATGCCAAGACTGACCGTGTTAACAATTTAATGGAGAACAGTCAATATGAAGTTGCTACTTAAAGCTGTGACCAAAAGCATATCAGAGTTCAGTAGGAAAAAAAAAAAGAAGAAAAATCAAGTTGCAAACAAGATTTGGCAAGCAAGTTAGAGTCCTCCCATACATCAGTACATAAATGTGAGCACGGGAGACCTTGGCCATCTTGAAGAACAGTGATTTATCCTTTTGCAGTGCCACTCACGGCATTTAGTTTTGCTGATGGATCTGTGACAGCTTTCCATGCTGTGGCAGCAATGGGGGAGTCTGAGATAACAGGTGTGATGAAAGCTTTTTTAATCTTGTAAAGCTGCTTTTGCAGAGTCTTTGGAACCAGAGGAAGGTGCTTTCACCATTCCCTGTCAGCAGGTGACTTCTCTTATAGTTGGGGTTATGTCTTGAAAAATCACTAGGCATGTGGTAGGGATCTCCAGCTTCCTCAGCGCAGCAGAAGCTGCTTTTGAAAACAGGAGGGAAAGGGATGCTAGGGCAGAAAAAATGATCCAGCATTAACAGCTCGTTTCCTCTGACCTAACCTGGGTCTGGTAAAAGGAGGAGGAGAAAATACTTCTTTGTGCTTTAACAGAAAGTAACCCCTGTGCTTAATAAATTCTAGATAGGAAATCGGGACGTTGTAAAGGGAGCTTTGTTATGTGAGCATTGGCCTGTGCTGTCGAATGCCAGGCGCCGCAGGGACACCAAAGGCTTCTGCGGCCTCTTTTGGCACTTTCACAGCGTCCTCGAGACCGGTCTTGTGTTCCCCTCGGCCGCCCCTCCCGCCTCGGCCAGCCCTCTCTCCCCGTCCCACGAGCGCCGCTGCCAGACTCCCACCCCAGCAGGTTTGAGGGGTGCGGTGGCCGCGGAGCTCTGCAGCCTGTGACAGGAAAGGGCGGCTGGCCCTGGGCTCGGCTGGCGCCTACCGCAGCCAGCGCTGCCCAGGAGGGACCCCGCCGGCCTTCCCCCTCCTCCGCTGCCCCCAGGGCTGGGATGCAACCGGCCTCCCCCGGGCACCGCCCGGCTTGTAGTCCCCCACCTGGAAGTAGCCCTGGAGCTCCATACTTGCACCACTACGTAACGCGAACACAGGGCGTTTCAGTTACTTTGCACTGAAGTGAGTGAGGAGGATTCGTTTGTTACAGAAGCTCAGCTGTGAGAGAAGGGGAAGGTAACTGCTCCAGCTCCACAGCAAGGGAGAGAAGTAAAGTTGTGGCATTTCGGAGAGGACCCTAGTCCTTGGTACAATCCGATAATCTCCGCTTGCATAAAGAGCTCCAAATGTTATCCAGAGAAGCCAGGAACAGCAGTCTCCTCCTGCTGCTCTGTTTCCATGTCTTCGGAAGACCTGAAGTATTTTTTTCCCTGTCTTTGAAAACTAAACGTTCAGGATACATGGTCAGGAGTTGTGCACGTGGCTGGTCCTAGCACAGAACCTCTAGTCCACTTAGAAAAGCCGTGCGTACGCACACCCACACGCGAAATTCAAGATAGCATGGTTGAAAGGCTGCCAGGCCCAGCTGCCTGCTGTCTCAGGAGAATGTTCTCTTAATGGTACCATGCAGCCTGGAGTTCAAAGGAATGGAAAATCCTCAGAGGAGGAGCAAAACACGCAGCAGGGGTAACGTTCAAAAACCAGGAGAGCAGGAAGGCCAGAGGTGCTTCCAGTTGTGCAGCCACACCACACGGCCATGGGCTGAAATCCGTAAATCCTCCTTAAGCATTCAAGAGCGCTAAGAAACAAACGTGATTTTGTCTAAATCTGCATTTTTCACAGCAGCCGAGTAAAGGCCGAGTACACGGCAGCGCAGGAACGGGCAGTTTTCCCCCATCGGGGTCGTGCCCTGGTGCCACCGCGGGGAGGGGGCAAACGGAACTGAACCGTGTGAACCCAGCACGTGGAGGGAAGCACAGCTGCACCCAGGAGGAGCCACCTCAGCAACCTGCCGCAGCATTTTGGGTTAACCAGCTTGCAAAGGAGACACACCACACCCTTTGGTTGCAATTATTTTTTAATGGAAAAGACTAATCAGTGTTTTACATAAATATCAATTAGTGATAACAAGTCAGTTGAGTAAGTAAAGGAATACATACCCCCAAGTTTTAAAGGTTCATAATGAACTGACAAAGTAGCACACGATGACGACTACAAGGAATTATAAGAGATGGGCTGCACGTCAATCACCTTCATTAAGTTCAACTGCTAATCAAGTTAGGCTATTGGAGTTACTCACAGTGCAGTGTTCCCATGCAGCAGCAAGGACACGTTCAAGGGGAAAGTGAACTTCAAAAACGTGTTTCTGCTTCCAACAGAAGGCCCCAACTAGGGAAGTATGAAAGCCTCAAGCAGTCCACTGACACGAAGCCCTTGCGGGGGCTGGTTTCAGACGTGCAGTGTCCCCCTCTCGGACTAAAAACTTACTTTTCAACAGATGCACAGGTTCTATCAGACAGGAATGTGTTCACACTGCAAAACGACACCAAGGTTGGATCTTGCTAACAATTTCCTTTCTACAGGGTTGTGAAGAACTGAACTCACTGTTACTCCCAGGCAGGCTGCAGGGATGGGGAAAAGGGGAGGCTATTTTTGTAGTCATCAAGAGCAATTTGTTAAATGAGCAGAAGCTGCTCATTTCCATCTAACATCTCCCTGCTCTTTCCCACAGGCTCAAAATGTTAAATACCTAAGGAGGTATTGCTCCTATTATGTCCACAGCTATCAGGATCAGAGTTACTTGACCCCACTTTCATATGCATAACAACGTGGAAATCCACAGCTTCAATATCTTTAAAACAGATCAGTGGGAGCCACGCAGTTTGCTGAGTTAGTGTTTCCCAATTAAACACCATGACATCAACCTGATGAGAAGGCATCAAATTCCCTAAATATTACCTTTAAATATTATGTGGCTAAGGTGCCTACTTTTCAGTGGTTTAGTCAAGAAAAGTTCATTATGAATTATCTAGAACTAGTAGAAAGGTACACATTTCATCTTACAGCTTTTCCGGTGAAATTCATAGTTATTAAAAGCTGGGGACATCGTAGGATCTGATCTACTGATGCAAAAAAATTAACACCCTACCCTGGTTCTCTGAACGGCTCAAAAATCTGCAAGGAAACTTTTAATTCAAAACTAAGTTACCAAGTCTCTTGTCACATGTCACATCCCATAAACAAACTTCCAAAACTGGACTACACATACTCGGCCAGGAGACACACCGATACAAGGTGCAAACGAATCCTAACTTTAAGTTAGCAACTGCTCAATAAAAGAAACTGTTTCCAAATACAGCCTCTTATCTCGCAACCCCAGTAAGCTGGTACCCAACTCGTGACAAAGTCGTAGCAGCTGAACGGAACGGCAACGCTTCTAAAGCCACTGCCAAAGGTGGACGTTTCACAGCACCAGACAGATTCTGCTTTACACTTGCACTGGCTTCAACATACTTCAAGTGACAGCCCATTAAAAAAGATTCACGTAGTCCCATAACAAATACAAATTTACTAACACCTCTAATAGTATCAGATTGCTTATGCTCAGTGGGTTTACATTTCAGAATTAATCATAACAAAAAGGCATCTTCTGCACCGTAGCTCTGTTATATGAATAATCTTTCTTTTTGTTATAATTTTAGAAGAAAAAGCAGATGGCCAAACACAAACACAAGAATTCAGCTGGCTGCAGTCACTCAGCATGATGTGCGATTGATCAGCAGGAAGGGGATGATTTCTGTATTTCCAGTTCTTCACATCTAAACAAGTTTAAAACTGGGTTATTCTCTTTGAGAAACAGAAAGCAGCGCTTTTGGAAAAAAACATGTATAAGACACCCAGGGTGGCGGGGAGAGTCATACTAACGTAGTTCTAGAACTGAGTATTTTGCCTTTCAGGGTTTGAAGTACACCTGCTAAGAAGGACTTTTTTTGATTAATTTCTAAAACAATGATAAAGAGTTATCTTGGCAGAGAGGAGAAACATGATGTCCACTGTAAACACACTACTGAGATAAGAAAGCAGCTGCCTGGAAATTTAGACATTAATTGCACATTCTAGTTAAAATAGAAATTACCAAGATTCTATCAAGCGTCAATCAGCTGAAGAGCAATTTACTCAAAAACATAATTCCCTCCCTGGCTTGCAATCAAAAGTGGAAGAATTATGAAAAGAACAGAATGGTCCAAGCTGTTAAAAAGGTATATGGGGAGAAAAATCGTAATGCTGTTCAACACTGCGTATGGAGAACTCTGAAGACATCAGTTAGCTGCCATCGTCTGTACCCTGCACCCCAAGTTCTGTTTAGGCTCAGCTGTTCTAAAACATTCTGTGCATCCTACCTGTAAAGGAGTCCGATACAGCCATTTTTCTTTATCTCCATTGAGTTTCATACAGGCAAAAAGGTCACAAACTGTAGGAAGGCCAAAGTCCTGAAAGAGAAGTCACCTTAATTATTGATCTTCAAACATAAATACATTCTAATGCACCTTCAAATTCTGTCAAGTGTTCACAAAGAAAACAAAACTGACTTCTGAATCTTGGAGATTACTATTTTCTTCATTTAGCAAGAGTAGCTATACTTCAAAATTAACTTGTTCTGTGTTGAACACTGACTTCATCTACTTAAGTAACTAAGTAATAATCACCGAAAACACAAAAAGAGCCAAGAAACCTTAAAACTGTTAGTATTATCCAGAAGAGCTGTGAATTTGGAAGAGAAGGCAGACATTAAATTCAGTTAAACAATACACCCAGCACAATGGCTTAAGACACAGCAGTAAAAATACTTATGAACATGCTCACTTGTGCTTTCTTGCGTAGAAGCCATTTATCTTCTGCTGGAGGTGGGTTCACATTTTCTAGGTTGTTTGAAGTCAACACCCAACTGTTTACATTCAAGGGGTGGTGGAATGGAGCCAAGAGGTCTAGGAAAGGACTCTTGAAACTACTGTCTGCTTTTTCCCTGCTTCCCTTTTCTTCTGCACCTTCTGCTTTGTGCTCAGACTTGGCCAGCCAGCTCGTCAGAGGCCTTTCAAGCAATACTTTCAAGGGTTCTGCGACCTCTGCTGAATAATCCGCTTTCTCCACACTAACGGGTTCCCCTGCGAGCTGCTGTGCAGGGCCAAGCCAGGCATTGACAGCAGACTTGGTCTTCTCGTGCTCAGGGTTTGGTACCTCTTTCTGGCTGACTGGAACTCCATTTTTATCCTTCCCTTCTTTCTTCAGAAGCCATTTACACAGAGCCTCTTTTCCACAGTTTTCATCACACACGCATTCTGAAAAGCTGGCACACAGCTCATTAGCTTTGCACACATCTTCCACTTTCAGTGGGGCCTGGGGATGCTGAAGAAGCCAGCCATTTACAGCAGATGTAGTGGGTGATTTCTTTCCATCAAGATGCTCATTCAGGCACTTCAGATTTCCCAGGTTCTCGATTTCCACACTTTTGATCTGGCTGCCACAACAGCTGGTACATGTTTCAGCTTTGAGGAGCCAATCATTCAAATTAAATTCTTCCCTAAAAGGTTTAAATTCATGCTTCCATTTCTCATCTGAAGCACTACTTCCATTTTCTGTGTCAGGGGTAAGCAGCCAGTCAGAGAGGTCCATCTCTTCTTGCCCAAGGGATTCCAATTCCTCCACCTTCTCAAAAGTGGAAAAGGACGAGTTGAAAGTAGAGGTGGAGTCCTTGCGGCCAAGGGAGTCTGTCTTCCCAGTGACGTCACGCTGTTGATTCTGCAGGAGCCAGTTTTCCAAATCTTTCAGATTTCCCCAGGCTTGCTCAAAATAACAGACTTTGGAAGAATTTAAATCCTAGTAAAGACACATTGAAATGCATCTATTAACACTAAAAGACAATATTCGGCAACTGTTTGCACAGTTACAGCTTGGAGTAGTCTGATAGTAAATGCAGATGTATTAGCTGAATGTGAGGCAGAGGGAAGAGAATTACAGGCAGCTTAATTCCCACCATATTCCGCCTGCAGTCAGATACTGTGTTTTCCCCTTTATTAAAAACTCGGTTAGTGAGTAAAAGGCTTACCTGGCTGGGCTCTGACACACATTTCTGCGTAACCCATTCTTCCAGATTGGTGCTGGGAACATACGGAGCCTGGCAAACACCCCCAGGTCTGCTTCCAAGCAGCCAGTCAGCAAGCGAGGCACTCACCGTCCCACACAGTGTTTTCTGCTGAGAAAGAATGTTCTTGGTTATGAGAAAGTCTAATTGCTGAGGTAACCTGTGGTGAACATCAAAACAGGCATTTAACATGCATCGGTATTTCTGAACCAAAAGAAATACCAGTCCCTTCTAATTAAGAAAAAAAATCTTCAGTTGCCTCTGTGATTCTAAGCCACTGCACTGCTAGGTTGTTTCGCGATCCCGGATTCCTCAGAGAGCAAATAAGACAGGGAAGTGACAGCTTCTACAACGTACAGTTCTGATATTTATAACACAGCCATCACCCTCCTTCTGACCACAACTCCTGTTCCTAATTGGTAACCCCCTTCACTGATGCTCTTTCCGTGCAGAGTCCAATGTAAGATTTCCCGCTAATTTTTGCAGTAAAAGGAACCAGACAGTTCCAAGTCCTGGCTTGACAACATCAAGGAATATTCAATTAAAAAATTCTGACAGTCACTCTCCAAATCCACTTTCATGCTGTGTTCCTGCATGTCTATTCCTGGAGCAGCTAGGATATCAGCTCTCTAACACTCACCACAGAGACTGTTACTGGCTACTCGAACATCCGAACAAACGGAAGTCATTACTCAAGCAAGCTAACGCACTGTGCTTGAATTCTCCTTTTCCCCTTAATGCAATTAATCGTTCACAGGTACAAGTCTTAATCTTACCTGCTCACAGTTCATTAGGGCACAATTCTGCCCTGAGAACCAGGGAGAAGCACTCTCTCTCTCTGAGGTTTGCTGTGGGGAAAGAAAAGTAAAAGTTAATTTAAATCTCAGTTTTGTCCAGTTTCTAGGATGAATTCTGCAATAACGCAGAGGTAAAGCGCAGTTATAGCTGGTCACCTCTTTGTAGCTAACAATTTTCTCAACATTTAAAAACAGAATGGAGAAAGATTTACTACAAAAATGCCACCTTCAGTCCACTTCCTTTAAGGGAATTATCTCCAATTATACAGGAAATATGCTGCTTACGTAAGAATCCCAAAATATTTATATCACAGAAAGCCATCTAAGCGGTATAACTATTAATACCTGAAGAAAACTGTAACGTACATTTTCACTTGCTGGACCAGAGTAAGAATACAATCATCATTCCCTCAGTCTCTGCCAAAATATATTAAAATAACATGTACATAGCTAGATCTAAGCTCAGTCAAAATCAGAACTAGATGCAAGAGTTAATAAACCGCTGTGTATACATTATACAGTTAAAACTATATGACTCATACAAAAGATCCATTCAAGCTATAACTACAAGTAGAAATATCACTTGGAATATATTGCACTACTGTCTTAAAAAAATCATTTTTTTCAAGCATTCCAACTCAGGGGAGTCTTGGTGCTTACCATCGTTTTAATTGAACCAAATGAGGTAATAGCCTGGCGAAGGTAAGACGTGTCAGCCTCAAAATTCAGGATGGAAGACTCCTCTGGTTTAAGAGTAAGACTTTCCAGTCTGAAAAAGTAAGACAATAGTTACAGAAAGACAAAAAGAAAAAAATTACAATCTTCTTCACCTGTGATGTTCTGGGAATCAGCCCATTATTTCATAAAAAGGCTTCCAAGCTGACTTGACATTAATTAGGTAACAAAAAGACTTTTAATACTTGCATAAAGAGGTGCCTATCCACAAGCCAAGAACAGAATAAATATTCAGCAAGACACAAGTTTCTTCTCCTTATTTTAACTGCCATCAAGTAATATCTGAAATAATCTGCACAAATGAATACCTTCCCTGCTCATTATTGTCCTGTTCTTTTCAATCTAAGATACAAAAGAGGAGAGGAATCATATCTCAGACTGCTTTAAAGATCTTATTTCTAGGAACCATTAAAAATGAAGAAACAGTGAGTTTGATCTATTATTACTTCTATTGGAATCAAAAAATCTGATTAAATCGGTAAGTCAAAATAAATACCAATCGTGTTAATTTGCATCATAAAATGTATTTACCTCTCCAGGCAAACTGAAATCTGGTTTGCTAGTTCGTTACTATAGGTGCGTTCCAGCTGATGAATAAGACAGTTGAATTGTCCCAAATACTGCATGGAAGACAAAACACATATCATTGTTTTGGCTTCTAAGATTAAAACTGAGAAATTTTGAGGACAAAAAGAACAAACTTTACTTTAAAATGCCCGTGCAACGATTTACGGCCAAATCTTACCCAACAGAGCTGCTGTGCCTGCTGCTGCAACGCCTCCTCCTTCAGCTGCTGAATGAGATCTACCTGCTCAAACAGCCAAACCTCGCGACTGCGCAGGCATTCCAGGTGGCGGCTTATGTGGCTGTGAATCTTGGCTTTTACCTGCAAGGTAACATGTACCATTTCTAGAGCATCTGTCAAACAGTACAAACAAGCATATGCTGCGCTGATTACATAGTAATATTTGTCACAGATCAGTGGTATTTTTGGAGCAATTTATTTCTCAAAAACTAGCCACAGTCACGCACAGCACCTCATGACTCAAGTTAGTAAAAGTTCCACGGCTACCTTTAAAGAAGTATCAAAGAACAGTCTCATTTGCAAGAACTCTTTATTCTGATGTTTCAACCAACAGCTGTAGGAAATTCTGCATGCCTAAGCTAGTAACACAGGAATACCTTTGTCAAGAACATGACCAAATTACACAGCAAGATGCTTGCGAGTCTCTTGGAAAATTTCAGACCTTCACCATAACAGAAAGTACTCTGGAATAATAAAAACTGTCATTAAAGTCATGTTAGTTACTAAAACATTTTTTTAAAATAAATTTAAATTACCTCCCGCCAGTTCTCTTTAATCTGTTGTTCAGCTTTGACAATTCCAGATATAGCTGTTTCCAAGTCCTTCTTTGCTTGAAGGCACTTTGCCAGAGGCTCACTGCTGCAGGAATTTCTACTTCTATCTTGTGGTGGATTCATTCTTGAAGTGTTCCTAAAACACAATGAAAAAAAAAGGTCTTACTAGTTTCTATTCCTCTTTAACTGAAGAGGAAGGGCATCATATGAAGAACCATCTGCTCTACTTCACTATAAAGGTGAACAAAAAAGACCCCAAAGACCTTACACTGATGCAAGTTTTCTAAACATAGCCCAAGCTTTCTCCAAGAGTGACAAATCGCTCGAACGCCTCAGCCTGTGGAATTTGCACAATCGCAGGAAAACCAACAGATATTTGACAACAGCTTCAACCACAGGAGTTTAGGCAATCTTCCCCTGCCATTTACCTTCCTCTTACTTTTATGTCTAACCAGCAAACTCCAGCAGCTGAGGGCTGATTCAGGCAAGGTCCAGCAGCTCTGCTGGAGCTGGGGGAGAATGGCTGGGCAAGGGGCAGGAAATGTTTCAGTCACCCTTTTCTCAGCTGCAGGCAAATGAACTGGCTCCCCCAAATGAGAAAATTCTAACACAGTTTGATCAACTGAAAAACCAAGAGTATTGATACATGGATCACTTTACTAATCTGCAAAGGCTTAGAGCAGCTGCCCATTATTTTTTGTTGTGGTCACAGCCATGGTAACTTACTCAGATTCAGCATATCCTCAAGTAAAAGGGGCTCAGATACAAAATTTCTACAGGAGTTACACTGGAAATGATTCTGCAAGTGAGGGGAAAAAAGTTAACTACAGATTTTTAGTAAAAATGGGAAGCATCAACATAAGCAGTTTCTTCCAAATGGTGGGTCTTTTGTTACCGAAGAATTTCAATTCTCCTGTTAGTTCCATGGGATTTCTGAAGCACTAACTAAAGACTCATAATAAACATTCTATATAAAACAAGTCTTCAGCAATGACAGCTATGGGAATTCCAAGCAGAATTAATTAAAGCATACACATGTGACAAGGTAAATATTTCATAGATTTTACCACTTCTCTAGAGGGAACTGAAAAGAGTATTTTGAATATGGCAAGACAACCACAGAATTTGTGTTACTGAGCAGCTATCTAGTCTGCAATTTCCAAGCCCCGTGACCATATAGACTGCAACCCCAAAATCCTTCTACAGCCAAGATCTACCAGATACATAAAAATTGTGTATTTCAGAGAGCAGAGGGCTAGGAGTGGTTCGCAAATGGAAGCCAACAGAAAAAGCCAGGTTTGCTGTGAGGCAACAGCAGAGGCTTCATCCCCCTTGTCAGGCCATGGGCTTCCCACCCCCCGGGTACGCCCAGCCGGGAAGCGCAGAGCGGGCACAGAAGCCACCCCAAGCCCCTGCACGCAACTCAATCCTGTCCTCGCCCTAACTCCTCGTCTTCTAGGAAGCGCAGAGCACAACAGAAGTGAACTTGAATTTATTTTTTAAGCTTATATTAATCCTACACCAAATTAGACTGGGTGCCCAAGTCCAAAACACATCACTCTCCATTCTGTGCTATGAATGCCAGTTTTGTCCTTGTATTTGCATGCTCTAACCTATCCACAGGTTCAGTTCTGTAAGGTTTCATGATCTTCACCTTGCTAGTGACGTTCAATAAACAGTAAGCTTTCTCTTCAGAACACCCCTTAGATTCTTACCTTGCTTGTCAACTCTCTCAGGTACAACCTACAGGAAAACCGAAGTGGCAGCCCTAGCTCTGAGATGTCATCTAGAAGTATTAACGTAAAGGCAGAGTTATACCCAGCCAAGAAAACAAGGATGTCGGACATATTAAAAGCTGCTCTATATTCAAAAGTAAACAAAGAAATTTCAAACTGTTCTTTATTATTTCATTCATTATAACAACTGAGTCACAGTCTGAAAGGCTAAATGCAATTGCCATGTTTGCTCGCACAGCAGACAATGCACTTAAAAGAGTTTTGTGAAAATGATGTTAAACTGTGTATCTACAAATGCCAAGTCCAAAATGTGCTGCATTACCATTTATGTGGTTTCTGAATTTATGCCACTGGGGAATTTGGCTCAATGCCTGAGGAAATGCTACTTTTTCCACACTCTGCATTAGCAATTTCATACTGACACAATCAAATTTAAGAAACGTACACATGCCCCTCTAATGAGCCCTGAAAATACTCACATTTGTTGCTTTTCTGGTTTTTCATTTGACTGCAAGAATCCCTCTCCAAAATGTATACAGAGAGAATGAATGCTGCTTTCCTTCAGCCAGACAGCTCTTGTAAAATGGCTGTTCTTACGCTTTCTCAAAGATTAGCCAATAAAACTAACATTTCAGTCGAGGATGAGAGTCAACCCGTCCTTCTTTTAAATTTCTGCAAGCCTCTACCAAAAACAAGCGCAGGTAGGTAACCACCTATTTCCTTGCTTCCCGATTACCACCAAACAGCACTAGCAGTTCAAGACATTTTCACATCCCACGCTCAGAAATACCCGAGATCATATACTTAGGTTCAACGGTAAAACAGAAAAAAACCCAAAACAAAACAAAACAACAATTACTTCTGCAACAGGATACGCGGTTGCAGTACAGAGCCACCATTTTTGGCCGTCTCCATGTCATCGAACCGTTTCCGCCTGCACGGTTATCCCACAGCGGGTACACCGCGTCCCGGGATGCGCACCTCCCCCCGCCCCAAATCAGCTGAACTCGCACTTACCTCCCGAGCGAAGGAAGCGACTCAGCCGCGTCCTGCTTATCGAGCTGCTTCCATTTTCAACCTCCTCCTCCTCCGCCGAAGCACGGACCCCAAAATGCTGTCGGGCAGTCACGTGCCCCCGCTCCCGGCCCCCCGGCAATCGCCGCCCCGGCCACTCGCTCGCCCCCGCGGCCACCAAAACCCGCCGGGCAGGGGCGGGCGGGGTGCGCAGGGGCGGCCCCGGCCCCGGCCCGTTATCGGGGCGGCCAGCCCGCGGCCCGCCCCGCCCGCACGTCGGCAGCGGCCGGGGGAGGCGACGCGACGCGACACGACGCGACGCGACACGGCCCCACGCGGCAGCGAGCCCACCCGCGGGCGCCGGCCGCCCCCGGGGCCTTTCTGCAGGGCGGGCCGAGGCAGCCCGGCCCGGCTCCCCTCCCCTAAAACACCCAGTGCCTCCGGGCACCCCCCACTGGCAGTTTTTAAACCGCAAAACCGCAACGTTTGGCAAGAAAACCCAGCTTTTCTTGCAACTCGAGCGGTGTGGCAACGCGCCTTTTCCATGTAACAAACGCAACGAAGCACGGCCGGGCGCTAAAGCGTTCAGCACATGTTCCGCCTGCAGCAACAAGGGCTAAAAGGGCTGCCAGCCCCCACGGCAGCCGAATCAAACCTGCCGGCCCCGGCCACACGCACCCCAGCACCGAGGGGCTCCCCTGTCCAGAAGTTCCAGAAATCCTCGGAGAATAAACGGCTGGGATGCGGTTAACTCCTGGAGGGACTGAAACGGCACCTACGCACGCAGTTCTTACCCCATCTGCTCTTCCACAGTTCCACGGGCAGATGAGGAAAGAACATGCACATGCATGCCTGTAATCGGTATGAATGTTACAGCTATGAAACAAAAAAAAAAAAAAAAACATGCCAAAACGAGGCAGGAAGAGAAAATTATTGTTCCTAATGGCAAAATAACTACCGGTCTTTACAGAAAGATTTTTGGCTGTTTCCATGCTCACCCAGAAGACTCACAGGAGAGCTGTCACCGCAGAGACCATGCAGCCAAAACTCCTGGTCACAGCGTCACCTCTCCTACTGCCCTAGCCAGTCTCCAGTCTTCAAACAGGCTGCCTGCCTCCACCCCTGAGGTGTTACTTCCCAAATCTGTGTTCTGTTGCTTTTATTTGTAAATCATAAACTGCTGGACAGGGTTTTTTTTTTTTATATATTTTAATTAAATACCACGTGGCTGGGGAGCAGAGAAGGAGGGGACAACCCTTCCTCGCCTACACAACCTGCTAACAGGCCAGAAGAAAACTGGTTTTACCAGCTCTTCACTTTCAGCACAGCCATCCCCGCTGCCACTTGGGAAGATCATTGTTTTCCATTTCAAACGGGTGTTGAATAACCTCAAAAAGATGGCCCTGCTGCACCTCTGCTGAGGAAAAAGCTTCCGAAGGGAACAAAACCTCACGTGGAACAGACTCTATTTATAAATGTGGAACGATTTCTTTCAGTTGGCAGGACAAGGCTGTTCCAAAGGTCTCTCCGACCTGATTTCCTGTGGTTTCAAACCAGCTGGCTTGCCTGAACTGAAATCCCTCTTCATTTCCATTTTGCCCCATCGAAAAAAACAGTAGTTCCTCTTAAGTAACCGTTCCAAATTAGGTACGTGGGAGTTGTGGTCAGGGAGTGAAGTACTGTAAGTACACGAGCTGAATCTCAGAAATTTCCACTTACATCCAAACATAACAAGCGTTTCATACAGTACAGCGTCTACATCATGAGCCAACTGCTGTGTGGAGCTTTTGCTGGCGAGATTATCTGACTCCAAATCAAGTACATAGCACTGTAAATCACAAGCCACATGCACAAAAAATGACCTCTAACAGTTCTGAGTAGGAGAGAAAGTGAAATGAACACTTTAAGGAATAATAATATTAAAAGTCCCAGGTAACACATTTTCTACAATTCGGTCATTTTTACCTCCCTGCACCGCAGTGGATCTGTGCCACAGACCCCAACACACACAACTGCCTTTTCAGACTCTTTCAGCCCTGGAAGAGCCCAGTCAGTGCATGAAGCACACGTACCGAGACAACTTCACAAGAGCTGGGTTCTGAAGAGTGACAAGGCACCAGTGCAGCTGAGACAAGAAGTCTGATCACCATTTTATTCCAGCAGTCATAAAAATATTTGTTAAATACAGCACAGCAGGCACATAAGCAAAAAAAAAAAAAAAACACAAACGCAAAATACCTCGTCACAAAGGCCTGAAATCACTATGGCGTAATTACCAATACCAAAGCAGACATCCCAGAGTGGAAAAGACACGCTGTTATCTTAACACAGATTTTACATTACAGCACAACTATCTTTCAGACTTCTGCACTTAAAACCCTTTGGAAAACAATTGGCAAATCCCTTGCTCTTCTTGAAGCATATGGCCCCAGAGATAGCACAGCACACTCTTTGTATATCCATCAATACCTTATGTGCTTGCAGAGTTACGAATGGTAGTATTTTTTACATGACTGTCAGCTTTTTTTTTTCCTCCTCTCGTGACTGCATACCTTACCTAAAACTCCAGCCGAAGCCAATCTTGTTCCTCTGTAAGATTTCGCCTTTAATCCCAGCCACAAATACCGAGTTTAAAGCCGAAAGAATGCCTGACAAAATCCCTGGGAGCTCTGGCTCATGCCATTTACCAATCAGCTAGCAGCATACATTTCCCAAACTTCCAGCACACGCGGTGCACAACCCCTGATCGTTTCTAACCCCCAATTGTTATTCCTTATGCAACCTTTGAAAAGCGCAGCTGCTGACAAAAGACTTTGACTTTTCAATTAAGGAGGGAGATAACTTTAGAAGTGCTTAATTTATCAGGGGCATCAAGAGGAAGCGAGATCAGCAGAAACCCCCCCACACACACACACACGTCTTCGTATTCGATCAGTGTCAGCCCTCCACCGCAGACCGGTAATTTCCCTACTGACCTGTCCGGCCACCCCACCTCCCGTCCCCTTCTTCCCTGCCGTCCCGCCGGCGCGGCGTTACCCTCGCCGTTACCCGGCTCTGCGCGACCGCCCGGCCTCGCTGCGCCGCCGCCGCCACCTCCTACAACCGCAGGGCCGCGCGCTTCCCGCAAACCGCCCCGAAGCAGGCGGCGACGCCGGGAGCCCATAAGGGAAACCTTCCCCCCCCCCCCCCCCCCCCGCCCCGAAATCACCGACGCTCCCTCCCTCCCTCCCTCCCGGCCCGCGCCCCGCCGCGAGGCAGCGCTTACCCGGCCCCGGCTCCGCGCGCCCCCTCAGCCCCGTGCCGCCGCGGCCGCGCGCCGGCTAGCGGCCTGCTCTCGCGAGAGCGCCGCCCCCGCCCGCCCCCTGGCGGCGCGGCGGAACGGCGGTTGGCGCCGCGATGGCGGCGGGAAGGAGGGCGGGGAGCGGGGGGGTCGCCGTGCCGCGGCCCAGCCCGCGCCCGCGGATCGCAGCAGCGAGTCCCCGCCCAGAGCCTCGCCCCCCCCCCCCCCCCCCCGCACCCCGGAGCCCCCCGCCGCCTGGCGTGGTTGGGCTTTGCACCGCGCCGGGTGTTTCAGCTTTTCCCCACAGCAGAACGCTTCCTCGTGCCCGCCATGGCGGTTTTCGGCCGGGCAAAGGACGCGGTTGCTATGCTGGAGGACAGGGAGAGCGGGCTGCACGGCTGTTGCCCGTGCTTTTAGATACTCGAGGCCTGTGAACTAAGATTACTAGAAAATACCTATTTGTGGAATAGAATTATCAAGATCGGTTTAAAATGTTTTAACCATTTAACCATTGTGCTGTAAAACAAATACTAATCTTTTGAGGAATAGCTAGAATAACTATCAGGTGAGGAACTCGTAAATAATCTTACTTGGGGCCGTTCAGCCTTGTAGTGGCAGGTGCAAAGAAACATAAAGATAAGGGAGCTGCAAATGAGCAACAAAACCAGACCAGGCCAGCCTTGAAGGACAAGATATACGTGACCACAGGACTGAGTTTGCGCAGAAGTAAGGGTCAGCTGGCAGACACAGTGAAGACGACTACGAGCCTTCACCTAGAGACCCCTGACCACCACCTGAAGCCTCCAACAGACATGCACAAGAGACATTAATATATGCTAATGAGTTCCTGGGAAAAGTTATGAATATGATAAAAATATTATTAAAATGCAATTAATATGCTAAAATGCAATTAGTATGTATGCTTGCTGATTTTATTTTCAGATGCACACATTAGGAGGAGCTATCTCCTGCGTGTCAGGCGCAGTAATCAAGAATGCCTGCTTTGTAAAACTCCAAAATCGAGTCTTAAAGAGTAAATTAATTACCACTTTTTGGTAGATTGCAGCCTGTCTGAGACCACCCAGCCATGCATGTCTGTGAAGCTCTACCTTTTACGGGTGTTTGCACAGTACTTAAAACACACATTAACAGAGAAAAAGGGCTTCAAATGGAAACCTAAGTATCTGTGCAGCTCTGTGTGCATGGGGTAGCTGAGTCACCACTTCCTACACACAGGAGCTCCTCTGGGCACAGGCCAAGGAGACCTCCTTTTGAAACAGGATCATACTGGTGGTTAGGGGTCATGGCTGCAGCCAGAGTACAAATGATTCAGTGCTGACCTAAGAGAAAGTAGAAGTCAGCCACCTAACCCCAGATGGCCCGTTACCCTAGGAACCTGCATTTCAGGTATTTGGCTTCCTCGTCTAAACACACAGGAGGCACAGGATGTGTCATGTAATCCTTCTCTGAGTATTTGGATTTAAGAGAAAAAATAATACCAACCCTGTCTGACCTTGAAAACCAGCAGCATTCACATGCCTGTTGTGTCCCCCCATCCAGCTCCCCAGCAGGATTGTCCCGGGTAAAGAGACCAGCCTCTCTCGGGCAGGCAGGCAGAGCAGACAAAGTGGTTTGCTGTTACGTCTTCCATAGGCTTGGCCAAGGCAATATCATAGTCCAGGTGGTTTGAGTGGTTTTTGTGGAACCACTCGTGCTGGTAGATTTGCTTCACATGGTACAGGCTCTGTGTGGATTCATTGTGGCTAAGGTTATGCTTTCCTAGGAGGATTCACTAGTTGGATACATCTTCCATCTTGCCCCTAAATGAATTGCAGAGTAAGGAACCATATGCATATTTTTAATGGGCCCTTTCCTCCCGCTGCTGAGGGCAATAGACACCCCTCCTCCCTCTACCATACCCTTAGCCACACCAGATGTGGGTTTTTTACCCAAACCTACGTAGAGAACAAAAAAATGAAATTTAAAAT